TAGGGTAGGATACTGTTCTGTTCCTGACCAAACATGCTTTTTAAAACGGATAGATCAGATGTACACTCTATTATGATTTGGTTGTAAACTTGTCAGCATGTCTTAATAGTCAGATTTACATCATTTATGGGAAACACACTTCAGTAGATTTTGTAAGGTTTCCTCTGTACAGGTCCATTAATGTGGTTTTTTTAGCAAAGCAGTAAAGTTCAATATAGTCTGTCATTTTTCTGAACTTGTGACCTGTTCTTTTTATGGTTAGCTTTGCGAAGCCCATGTTGGCTTTTTCAGCCAGCCTGCTTTCAATTTAAAATTATAAATATTTGATCCCTAGTGAGCAGAGCTAAAAAACAAGTACATGACAATATAATACTTCATATTACTGGGACTCTATCACCAGCCTTCAGACTTTATTCATCGGAGCTTTTCTGTATTTTTATTGAGCTGTTCTTTCTGTTTCTCTTTGAGTTATCCTGTGTTTCATGACAGTTGTGGGGTTTTACCATTTACTTAGCATAGGCAAACCTAATCAATTCTGATGTGGCTCACTTGTGTAAACATTCACTTTGTTCAGTGGTTTGGTTTCTTGAAACCTATATTTTATAAGTCTCCTTATATATTTTCTCTGAGTCAGCGATTCGATACAGAAGTAGTAACTGTCCTATTCACCAAGTTAGAATTTAGCCTAAGGATAACCTTGAGAGATATCCTAGTATTTCTGGTTGGGATCTTTCTGTGCAACAGTAGAGAAAGGAGAGCAAAAGGAGTTTTTTAGGAGTAACAAATGTAAGACACTATCACAGTTTCACAAAGTTTCACCTGTTACATTAATTCCTTAATAATTTGTAATAACATTAATAATTGCATTATTAGAAAACAGCAATGATATGAGAATAAAAGCCTTTGAGTGCTTTAAATGACAATGCTGAATGGCCAGCCCTGCCCCAGAGTCTGCTGAGGTTAGCCCATCTCAAGCTCAGGATCTGTTAATCGAGCGCTTCCAATTCTCTCATTTGTTCCTGGAACAACTTCGCAGGTGACTGATTCTGTAGCCCAAATTTCAACTGCAGCTTTATCTGCTTAGGTATTTCACTGAAACAGAGCTGCAGGATAGTTTGCACACAGTCTGTTCTGGAATCTTTCATCACACAACGTTCTGTCTCTGCAGTCACGGTAACAGCTTAAATGAATGTGATGGTAATATTTGTCACAACACATAGCATTTCCACTATGCGCTCTGTCACTGATCAGACAAGTTGTGTTGCTGAAATGCGTCAAGGAAAGTTTAACGTGGAACCGTCTTAAATTTTACATATACGGGAGCCTGGCTCTGGACAGGTCTGCTTGTTGCATGCTTTTTTTTTAGACTGAAGTTCAGAGGAGTTTTCCCCAGAGTATGAGGTGGTACATTCAACACAGCGGGTAGGGTACAAGCAAAGTAGCCAAAAGAAAAGACGGCAGAGTTTGCAGTGGATAACTATCTTTTTAGGAGGGTGCCACAGGGCTGATTGGGCTTTTTGCGCTAGAGAACATGAACCCACGTGGATGAATGTTTTCCGTTGGTCCAAATAAATTGATTGGTAAAGGTATTTGTGCCCTTTGGTTTATTATTGCTTTTGGATGTGATATTGCTTTCAGTTCTGTTCAATGACCTTGTTCTGTTGAACTGTTTGAGTTTCATCATTCGTGCTGCTGTTAATACAGGGTGGCACAAGGCAAGAATGGCCAAATGGCCAGCCTAAGAGAGACACTGCTCTTCCGTCTGTGGTTGGTGGTGCTGTTGTAAATATTCCTTTGTGGCCTGTTAGTGTAAAGATGGCCTGTGGTGATTCAGAATCCTCCCCCTTTAGCCAAGTTGTTTGCAAATTCAACTGAATACAGTTTTCTCACACTTTACAAAACACAAGCAGTTTGTTTCCTACTGATTTACCTCAGGGAGTGTAATATATTTCACTGTAATCACTTAAATCATGACAATGTGGAATAGCTCTCATAAGTAGGTGTTGTTGAATCAAAGCAAAATCAAATTACACTACTTAAATTGAAGTGGGCGCGCACAGAAGGCAATTTCCTGAATCACCCGGGAAATACTTTACAAAAGGAAATGTTTTAATTACTTTCAAGAATAAAATGGCTTTGGCTATGCTTTTGGTAATCTTCGGGAAATATTTATTTAGGTTTTTTTCAGTATTTTGGTAATTATGAAAAAATGTGTTTAGAAAATTAGAAATTACATTTGAGCCAAGTATAACTAATACACGTCTGTCCCATCCATTATCATTTATTAAGCCACTTATTCCTGGTAAATGTATCTATTATACTGTATTATGTCTTAAACCATTTAACAAATCTTTCATATAAAGCAATTTTGTTTTATAATGTTAAGTTTTTTAAGTACAAATATTGAATGTATTGTCCTAATAATTGCTTTATTAGTGTTCCCTTTACATTGCATGCCATCAGAAATCTTGTAATGTTCCATTTTCCTACCATGATTTAATGAAAGAGAAAATTTGGTGAACAATTTTTTCACTGCTGAGTCCTTTTTCAAATAACTGCAATCCAGAAGTACAGAAAAGGGGTGAAGAACAAAATGATGAAAAAATTGCTCTGGAAATGTTTTTTTTTTTCTTTCCGTTTTGTAGCAGAAATGACCTGAGGCAACAATACAGAGAGCAATATTTTTTTATCTAATATCTAATTGCTTGCTGGGAGATTCCCTTGAGTTCCATTGTACCTTGTAATTCTGTTTCAGTACTTTGAAATCTCTTTGACAACTATTAAGGAGAAATGAAAAAGAAAACTTTGTCCATCTAGGATCAAGGTAATGTCTAAGCAGGCAAATGTCTTAAAATGCAGTGTGAGTGTGGAGGGAGAGGTTGTTGGAGTAAACAGGGCAAAATTTGAATGCCCTTTTTGTAAGAGCTTCTTTTCTTAATTCTGATTGCAGCTGTGCAGCTTGTTCTTTTCTATTTGTTTTTTTAGTCCATTACTGACATGGAGAGATGTGCAGCATATCATCGTGAAGACTTCTCGTGCAGGGCATCTCAATGCCCCTGACTGGAAAATCAACGCAGCTGGTCACAAGGGTAAATTTTATTTTCCCGTAGAACTGTTACTGTCCTGTACTATTCATTTCACCAAAACAGTTAAATGTAAAAGCATTTTTTTCTGAAATCATTTAATATTCATATTCATGAATATTACATTTTGATAGTAATATTAGTTTTGCAGTATCCACCAGATTGTAGAGTATTACAGCATATTGTTTCTAAGTATAATATCTCTCCAGTCTTTACCATTTTTATTTTATGCATCAGATAAATATTGTAAGTTCTGTAACACCAACTTTTTAGTCTTATCTTGAATATAATGCATGCCATACTAAAATAAGACGTATGTGGAATGAGACGTTTATTCGTCCTCTGTTATCTTATCCTCTGTAAGTTATTGCTTTGGTATTGCCTGTATTAAGAGGTGAGGATATATTTTTTTCTTAACCATTAAAATTATACTGGATGTGTTAAATTGAAGCTATGTAAACATATTGTTAAAGGCTTTAACTTGAATACGGTTTCTGTATGTGCGATTACAATGGCAGGTTGGTGAGGCTGTGGCCTTGAATCTGTTGCTTAAATCTGAAGCTACACTTCAGTGAATTCAAGATATCGGGAATTGTTTAATTACGATTAAGTTGAATAAAGTTCCGTGCAAGCCTGTTTCTTGGGAGCTACAGTAACCTTGCTCCCACCCATTTTATTTTCCCTGAAAATAAATTGAAAGGTGAGCTATGACATTCCTATTTCATGTATTCACCAACAAGAAAGTGTACACAAAATAAATATTTAATGCAGGTTTTGTGGTCTATACGATAAATCTACTTTTAATGGAATTGAAGACAAAGCCTTTTGGGTGACTGCACACATATATGTCTGTCATTATCTGTCACTGGGGCTAAAGTCAGGTAGCATAGCAGCTCATGACAGTTGGTGCCACTCTAGCTTTAGTCTGTATGCTTTAGTTTGCATGTTGAGGGGAAAAAACTGACCATCTTTACAGATTTTATTATAAAAAGGTAACTTTTCTTTTTAATTAGTAATTATTTATTCTTGTACACCTGCAAGTCAGACCCAAGTCTTAATGTTGCACAGTGTTCTTAGAATTCTCCAATGATTTGTCTTTTTGCATAGTTTACTCTGGGAGCTCAAAAGAGAAACTTTTTTTTTTCATCTTCCCCATAACTCTGTTGTCATTGCTTTTTTAAACCAGTCTTCATTCCTGTACGTAATGTTTTTGATAGTTTTTTTTCTGTCAAAGCAAATCATTTTTGATCTACGTTTCTTCTCCACCCTCTTTTTCTGAAACTTCTATTTACGGTTTCCTTTCATATGGCAGTTCAAGAAAAGTGGATCTCTTTTTAAAATTCACAACTGGGTAAAACATTTTAGGATATATTCTCAATTCTGCAATGGGAAAGTATGTTGGAAACTAGCAGTTGTCAATAATGTGTTCTCTGTGAACTGCATATCACCCTATGATAGCAGGATTTTCAGATGGTTTCCAATAGGTTGGAGATGTTCATAGATGTAATAGACAATCCATTTATTATTAATCAAAATGTGCACATATCTTAACATTTAGTTCACAAAAAGGCATAAAACAGCTCTGGACACATCTGCGGAGTTATACAAGTGCTGCATAACAAGAGATAATAGGGATACTTATTGATTGGAAATAATCAGGAATAATCTATAAAAACATTTTTTTAGATTGTAGATTTTTTGGCCAGATGACCAAGAATTAGTTCTTTGATCATTCGTTAGTCCCCATTTTGTTTCTATTAAACAGTCCTCTTTGCTTCCAAGCCAGGTGTCTGGAAACATCATCTGGGAATTTAAAAAAATCGAAAGATAGATAGGCCTGCAAGATTGTGTGGTCTCTGCTACAATGAACATGTGTAAGATGATTAGGAGACATTTTGCTTCCTGATAAGATTGTTTGGGTACCATTATACATCTGGTCACTGCCTTGAGAGCAGAACTTAGAAGAATCAAAGAAAGGATGCATTGTCATTCTTAATGACAGAGGGATGTTCTCATGATTGGAACTGGTATGGGTTGATTCAAGAATAGAGCAAACTCCGATGAAAAAGGAAATTGGACATCTATATTTTATTTATTATTGCTATTAAATATCACTACATCTGTACATTAAATGCAGTTGTTTTCCTATAAAATTATTTTTATGGTTGAGTTACTGTGGCACACTATACTGCAGTTAAATAACAATAATAATACTAAATATGAGTATCCATACAAATAAAACTCAGTACACGAAGCGCCTATTTAGGGCTTGAGTGGCCTGAACCCACTTGAGCAAACTCTTTGAAGTGTATACTTCTCACAGACAGCCAAACATCAGCTCTTTGGATGTGTTCCATGTGTGAAAAGAATTGGCATTGCATAACTTTCATATTTGGCTAGATTTGTTTTCTCGGCTTTACTTTCCCTTAAACTGAAGTCAGAGTTACTTATTAAGTTTGATGGTTCCTCTGATGCTTTCTCTGTCTTCTTTCTGATTTTTTGAAGGAAATGATTAAAATGAGCTTTATTCTATAAAAAGTATAAATAATGTGACAGCACTAGCAGTAGATTATTAGATATGGTAAATTAACATCTGTAGTTTACGGGTGCTTTTTTGGCTTTATACATGAATTCCATCTTCCATTTTTGGCTGCTGAGTATAAAATATATTAGAAAGAGCATAACACAGAAAATCAGTTTTTTATAACACTTCACTTTTTTTGTAAAAAGTTCATATAATAGTAACAAAACTTTTTAAACATTTTGATACCTTTGTCTTTGTACAGATACTCTGTGTGTCCTGCAAGCTATGGATCTTGTTAAGAACAGCAGATATTTTGATACCTATGCTGCAGCACTTTTATTAACTATGTTACACTTTTCATTTTATTAAGGATATAAAATTATGATGAAGATCACTGTTCTAGACTTTTATTGCATTACTCAAATGCATTTTTTTGTTTTTATTTTATCACAATAGTGTATTCTTTATTTGGCTTTTATTTACATTACATTGACTTGTTTTTTTCAGTGAGCCACCTTTATGGATTTGGACTAATGGATGCAGAGGCCATGGTAAAGGAAGCAGAGAGATGGAAACAGGTACCTCCCCAGCACATTTGTTTGGAGAATGCTGACAGGCAAATAAGGTAATAATAATCATGGATAAACCTCTTTAACTCTTTGTCTAAAAAGGTCCAGTTGAATATGACAATCAGTGGTTTTTGAGATTGGGTGCAGTGTGAAAAGATTAGTTTTGAAAAGGCGCTGTATGGCGATCAGAGATGGTGCAGTTCTGATGTCCTTACAGGTATCTGGTCCCACTCCAGAGGTGTAAGTGTGACAGTAAGGTCACGGTAAGAGGCTAGGTTGGATGTGCAGAGAGGACACAAAAGTGTATCAAAAAGAAGTTGAAGCAGAAGAGTCAGAGCAATGGAGGGTGAAGTAGCTAAATACAACTGAATTATAAAGATATAGGGAGCTTATTGAGGAATCAAAACAGAGCATTTGCATGAAAAAACTGAGTTACAGGGAATACTAAGTGATTGGCCGAGATTAACATGCTTTTGGTTTTGATTGTGAAAATATTATTGAATACTGTATCTGCCCTTTGTTTACAGTGTCTTTAAAATCATTTTACTGCATTTTACTGGTACACAAATGAGTCATTTATCAGACTTTTTTATTTTTTTCAAAAGATTGTATTATAAAATAATATAAGTTTTCAGTTAACAGTAGCTTTCAAGATACAGGTTATTGCCCAGAACTGATTTAGGCAATACAAAAGTCTCAAGGGCTTAACCACAAATACCGGGGCCATTAGCTACTCTTGGTAGAGTGGTTTCTGGATCTAAGTAACTGGTCTCCAAACACCATGTTTTAAATCGTAACAGTATTGGGACCCATCATGGCCTTTATTCCAGTCACACATGGAGTTCCGTTTTCCAATTGGCTACCCACACCCAAGCAAGATGTTATTGACAAATTACATCCATCCATTTTCAAAAGTGCTTCTTCCAGTTCAAGGTTGCGTCCAACAATCTGGTGTATCACTTCTGACCTGTTTTTTTGATGAGCAAAGCTAGATAAAAGAAGTTGAAATGTTCTGTACTTATGCCTGGTTTTTAGTAAACACATGGTAGGAGTTATATCAAGTTTTTATATCTAGCTTAATATTGTTTTACTTTGCAAATGTTTACAATTCTTATATCGCTGTTTAAGAAATTGCATAGACATCAGAAAAATGAGAGGTCATAGTATTTATGCCCATTAAAACATTCAAAATTTCATATACAGGGATGTGAAAAAGAAAGTACACCCTCTTAGGATTCTGAGGTTTTATGTAATAAGATATATCTTACCTTCTTGTAGTCCTCACCAAGTCCTAACAGTAGATAAATCTAACCTCATGTGACAAATAATGTACTGCTTTCATAAGATATCTATCATTCCACAGTGAGAAAGATAGTTTACAAATGGAGAATGTTCAGGATGGTTGGTGGTCTACCCAGGAATAGTCACCTCGGCAAATTCACCCCACAATATGACCATATCGTTCTCCTAGAGATCGGCAAGAACCCCAGAGCTATATCCATGGATCTATAGGCCTCTGACAGCGTGGTAAACTTTAGACTTTATGATTTAACCATTACGAAAAGACTGAACAAGAACCTTTTGTGGAAAGATAACCAGGAGAAAACCCCTTTTCTCCAAAAAGAACAATGCTACACAGCTTAAGTTTTGCAAAACAGAACCTGAATGAACCACAAGATGTGTGGAACAATGTCCTTTGGACAGATAAAACTAAAGTGGAGTGGTTTGGACATAAAGCAATATAATATGTTTGGTGAAAACCAAACGCTCCGTATTACCACAAGAACCTCATACCAGCCGCCAAGCATACTGGTAAAGAAATTTTTTAAGAAAAAAAAACTGATGTTTTGGGCCTGCTTTGCAGCCACAGATCCTGGACACATCACAGTCATTGAGTCCACCATGAATTCCTCTCTATGGGTGGTGGGACCTAAAGAGAGCTGTCATAAATGAATGCCCTCAATCATCATTGAGCTGCAGTAGTTTTGTAAGGAGGGGTGGACCAGACTTCCTCCCAGTGTGAGAGACTGATCAACTTTAACAGGAAATATTCACTTCAAATTATTGCTGCTAAATGGAGTGACTGAATAGAAATAAATAATAATGACAAAGTAAAAGTTTATGTGTGTTATTTGTCTCATGATGTTACTTTAAAGACTTGGTCAGGACTTAATGAAGGTAAGATATGTCTTAATATATCAATTGAATTGAATCGTAATGGGGTATACTTTTTTTTTTACATCACGGTACAGTTACACCACTGCCAAGCCATCACATTAAATAGTTCAACATGATTGCCTGTACACTGTGGTTCTAATCTAAAAATCGGTAAATGTAGTTCAGGTGGGTAGCTGTGTCAGCATGCATAGGCTGCAAAGGCTGCAAATAAAGAATCGGTAAATGTATAATATTGAAACTGTCATGTACACATTTCCTTGAAAAGATCTGATCTGTTTTAACTTTATTAAATTGGTATGAATGTGTATTTTTCTTCATCCGTAAGTCACTGTGTGTCCAGTAACTGGCAGTCTGTGCAGACTGTGCACAGTCCAAAATAATTTAAGTTACAGGCTTTATTAGGAAATTGGTATGACTTCCATTTCGACTCTCTTTTCTTTTATACTGCTAGACTTTGTGAAACTTGGAAGTGTTCAGTGCATTCAATTGCCTTCCCTCAGTACGACACTAAAAAATTGGAGTTTCAAAGCCTTTTTTCTCTTGCATGGCAAGTGGGTACTTTGATTGCCTTCCAGTTTTGGCCAAGGCATCAAGAAAGTTCTCTGTTCCTTGTGGCAGCATTGACAGCAAACATTTATTTTGAGCCTTTTCTCCTGTTGAGGAAGAAAGGGACTGGATTTTATGCAGTGTTTCTTTTCATCAGGGAAAAACTTCCACACACAAACCTAATCCTGCATTTAATTTAGCTGTGAGCACTAGGTGCAAGATGTTGCAGTTCTGACACTATTGTCCTACACAGATAATATGTTTTCTTCTCTCTAATGCTTCTCCCGTGGGACAGTGGTGTATTGCTGGCATATGGATTACTTTTTCACCATTGAGATTGTTTCCTTTTCATTGACACTGGTTTATAATTTATTTAGTCTTTGAAGACTCATCTTTATTCCTGAGGACATATACTGATTAATGCATAAATCCTCTTATCTAGTTGAAGTAATCTGTTTCTCTTAAGATTGATTAGCTCTCACTCTGATTCGGATTAATTTGGCTACATATAGAAGATGATGAAAATGCAGCTTCTGTTATTAATCTACAGGATTAATATCTAAAAGATCCAGAATGACAGAAATGTAGAAAACCCAGAATGGCTGAAATGTCTGCTAAGAATTTTTTTTTGCTATTAAGTTGATTTTCTTAGAAATGTGTTATATAAACAGGAAAGGAAGTCCAAATGAATGGAATGCAGTATCTTAGTATCTGTTTTTAAAACTATGATGGATTGTACTTTCCTAAATAAAATTTATTTTCCATAATCAACAAATAAATCACATTATATTCCACATGAAGCATATTTTACCTTTACTTAGGTAAAATAGGATGTTAAGTGCTTCCTTTGACATTTTTGTGTACTGTAAAGCTTATTAGCTAAATACATTATTTTCAGCCTTGTGATTGAAAGAAACTAAAATGATATGTTTTGAAATGACAGTACTCTGCCAGGCTACTGCATTTCTTAAGTAATTTCTTTAAATCCTTTAAACTTCTCTACTGTCAAAGGGATTCACCAGATCTATCTAAGTATAATAAAACTGTGACAGATGAACCTAAATGCTTGTTTGTTTTCTAAACTAGTACCTGTCTCAATGCTGTTGCAGGATTATTCGGCCTGAGCATATAGTCAAATCTGTTTACAAAGCTACCGGCTGTGTCGATAATCCGAATCACCATGTCATCTACTTGGAGCATGTTGTGGTGCGTGTCACCATCACTCATCCTCGCCGTGGCGACCTGTCCATCTACTTGACATCACCTTCTGGAACAAAATCTCAGCTCTTAGCTAACAGGTAAAACAAATCAGTTCTGTGGTGTTTGTGTACATACCAAATGACATCCATGGTGTCCTAGTTACCTCCAAAAGAAACACAAAATACAACAACAAGTTTGTCCAAGCAGTGAGGGGACAAACATGCAAAGATCACGAGATGCAAAATATATCACCAAGGTTGATATTGAGAAAACAGCTCCTCATTATCAATCTTAAATCTAGAAATCAAACCATTACCCATTTAAATATCTCAGAGAAATGTTCATTAAATTTGATTTTAGATTTTCACAATGAATACATTTTTCAATAATTTCAAATATAATTGCTTTTCAGCTCAGAGCTGGTTGTAAAATTGGTGTATTACGGATTGTAAAGCAATAAATAGGTAAATGCCTTTTCAGTTATTTACAAAATTGTGCCTCATGTTTATAAGAAAAATAAATTGTGCATTGGCAAAAGATATTGGCAGGACTCCAACTTAATAGTATTTTTGTAATTTAACCACATAATATACAGTTTTATATTCCTTTGTGTGTTCCTTAATTATTTTGAGCATGGTTTGCAATTATAAAACCAGGTATTTTATCAGAAATGCAACAGATTTGTTCAAGGTGGACATTAATCCTATAATCTTTTTGTGAACATCTCTGAAGGTAAGGATTCTTTCGTATTGGTGCCTCAAGGTGTATGGGACACCTTTCTGTTTGTTTGCATTTAAGGGTAAGGTCTGTATATTCAAATAAAATTGCTCTGACAAGAAAATTGGACTGCATTTTGATCACATAACAAAATATGTAGCACCTCCCTACAGATGTCTGTAGCCTTGAATAAATGTAGCCACAGTCTTTAGCAGGTGCTAGTTCACTATCAGCTGTGTTGAGTGAACAGAATTTGTTCTATAATTATGGTCCAATTAACCTTTTTTCTTCTGTACAACAGCTACAAAAAGGGTAATTCACTGTGAGTGTTCTCTCCAACTATATTTATATGCAAGCAAAACGTGAAAATATTGTTTTGTATTGTTTTATTGGTGCCATTTTAATTCTAGCATTCCAATAGATAAATTATTTAATTATCATAACAATGGAAGGAATAAAGGTGCAGTTATTGCAGAACTACTGTCTCCTCAAATTCATGAATATAAAGTTGAAGTTAAAGAACATTTAGATTTAGTGCAGACTAACAGTAATGTTTTGTTTTTCAGATTGAAAAAATAATATTAATCAGATATAAACTGCATAGAATGTGGTTATTGCTTATTGTTACAATATTTTAGATAATGTGACCATCTTTACCAGAGTACATCATATTTAAACCACAAATACCAGTTAGACACCAGTCAAAGTCCATCAACCTACCAGTTTCAGGGAAGACTGTAGAAGTATGTGAGGCAAATATTATGCAGTATAAAAGATTGTGAATGTTTGCAATATTTAAACTAGGAAAAGAGTGTTATGTGGTGTAATAATCTTCCGTGGCTTTACATTTTCGAAACAGATTATACCAATTGATAGATCTCTTCACTATTTCTGTTGCTTATCACACAGGTTTTAATAGTAAAGAAACTTTCACAGGAAAGTAGTAAGGTCTTCATGAAAATGAATCTATGTGTCATGTTTTTGTTAATACAAAATTGATCATTTTTACATTTGTAAATACATAGAAAGTGTATCTGTTCATTTAAAATAGAAATATCACTAGACATAAAGATCAGATCTCAAAATTTGACATGCATAATAACAGGAAAATATTCACCAAATAACATTAGGAAATGAGACTGGCCTTTCTAAGCATGAAGTTAAATAAAAGTGCCAATTCAATGCCAATGTGACAGAATAAGTCAAGCTTTGTACATCGTCAAGCTCACATAGGATTATTGAATTTAGAATACAGGTGCAACTCTGTGACATTAGATTTTCTGATCAAATAAGTAAGTGACAATGTTGATATTCCTTTATTCTAAATGAAAGGATGCTTTTGTAAGACAAGTAGCAGTTTGCTATATTAAGTTAGATTCTTCTTAACATATGAACTTATTAATACATACTTATACATTTAACTTTTTACTTTGATCAATTTCTGATTTTGTATGGCACTGTTTCTGACTCCGACTCACAGTTCTTCAAAGGATCTTTTGTTTTCCATAGTAAATGGTTAGTAAGATCTGACTACAAGCTGAGATTAGTTGGTTTTGCCTATCTGAATTTCCTCATCAGTCATCTTTGCCAGCTGAAAGATAGCTCAAGCAGTTCCCAGAGAGGATAGCTGTTCAAAGGAGGTTAGTGTATCCAATGTCTGCAGGTGCAAATGAGTCAAAGACACTCCACAGTATTTTAAAGTGTGTCGAAGCTTCAAGTTTAAAGAGAGACTTAATGTGCTGTCTCTTAATTAGTGGACCATGCCACAAGTACCATGACTTAATGACGTAAAACAATCATCTATCCATCAATAATTTATTTCTGATGATTTTTACCCTTTTCTTTCCTTTTTAATACTGGAATACAAACCCAGTCTACAAACAGCATTAAAGTTATTTTATATTTCCCTTTATAGGCTTCTGGCAATGAGATGAATCATCTTGGAACATACACCTCTTAACGCTCCAAAGATTTAACTATAGGACATACAGTACATATGCAGACCTAGACATCTACTGTATCTCACAGTGTGATATATAAAATTAACATACTGTAATGCAATGATATAGTGATATAGGTTAAATATGTATTCTTCAAAATAGAATATTTTCTGGTGACTAGAACAAAATAAAAGTATTTCAGGGATTAATGATTGTGTCTTCCTAGTTGTTGTGGTGGTGTTACTGGGGTTACTGTTATTTTAACTACTGTAGGACTAAAAATAATAAAAACAGTTCCAGTCGAAATAGGATTTTTGCCACTTTGTTTCATAGATCACTTTGTCGGCTTTCAAAGTTGCTTCCCAAGATGCAGATTTCTCTTTTGTTTGTATTTTTAGGGGCAGGTTTAGAAACATTTCTTGAAAACAAGAATGTTCCACTGCTGTGCCTTCACTGTCAACTTCTGAGGATTCTGAATAATTCCAGTGAGATGTCAGTCATAGGTCATCAACCTAGCACAATTTTAAAGGGTAGGACAGAGGCATTTGTGGCAAAAGGAAGCAATGTCTGTAGATTGATGTTAAGATAAATAAGACAAGGTTAACATTTTTAGTGAATGAAAATTATAGATAGACTGTTTCCATACATGCCCTAGGCCTAGAAAGTATCTTCTAAGCTTGAAGCCATTGTCTAAAAGGCTTATAGCTGTTAAACATTTTTAAGTGGACACAATAATGGAAGAGATTTCTAATCCTCTTCTTTGTGTGGTTGTGTGGCAAGAATTAGAATATTTGTTTTTCTAGATCTAGGAAACTTACTGATACTAGATCACACATGGTATATGTGAATGTCGTGTGTCAAGTGTTGCCTTATTATTTGTTACTTTGCTGGGTAAGGTCCTTTACTTTTTCCTACGTCCTACTATTAATATGTATTCACCAATCTTACATATTTCTTCCAAATTTCAATATTATACATTATTAAGCATTATATAGCTGATTACAGTACAGTAGAATGTAGTCTGATGACAACCAAGCATACATCTGTTAATTAATATTTTGTTTAGGTGTTGTATTTGACAAGGGGAACTGTCACTCCCACATAGTCTATCAACATGATTAGCAAAGCAACATGACTGTAAACTTTAGCCTGAAATGTGCACGGACATTGGGGACATTGTAAATGACTGAATGTCATGCTTAACAAAAAGTGACTTTTGTAACCATTGTCACATACCTGAGCTGTCAGAATAAGAGAAAAAAAGGCCTGTATTTCTTCAACAATAGAAAATAGCTGCTGTATTATCTAGCTACATTATCTAGAGATAATTCTTACAGTTTTTAATTTTATTATAGATAGATACTTTATTGATCCCGTGAGGGAAATTGCAGTGCAACAGCAGCTTAACACACACAACACAGCCACAGTGTAACGAATTATATAATTATAATAATAATAATAATAATAATTATTATTATTATTATTATAAAGTTTCTACAGTTTTAAAATAATAACCCCATTACAGATATTTTATCTTGGTCATTTTATCTGTTGACACAAATGGCTGCTGATTTATGTTCACTTTAGGTGTTGAATGTAACAGTGAGATGTCTAATGAATTTTGTAATTAGTTAAATCAATAAAACAATTGTTATGTGTAATTACATTGGGTGTAACAAGTATCTGTATTCATGATGCATCCATTGATTCAACCAAAACCTTTGATGCGTATGCCAGTGTAAGAATGAATATTGTTTTAAAAAAAACATGAAATGGTGTCTTTTCATGCTATAATGTAATGGTGTGAAGCTTTTTGATCGGGGTTTGTACTACAGTTGAATGCTGGTACATTTATCACCCCCTGTAACTTCCAGCTGGGCTGAAGTAGCAAATCAAATTCTATTAATGACAAATTTTAATATTTTTTCCTGCACATCATTTTATTGTAGAATGACCTGTTTCTGCATTTTCATTGTTGTTAAACGTTGAGTTTGTACTACCTTCAATCCAAGTGACCAGTTGAGTTGACCATCATAGTTAAATATACTCAAGAGTGCCATGCTTTATAAAATTAGTGCATTTCAGCCAAATGTCAAAAGTTCTCTCTTGCTTATTTGGTTGGGCATCTACCATTAGACAAATGAATGCAGCCACCTGCATTACTTATGCAGTGTGAAGTGTAAGGGCTGACTATTTCTTCTTACACTAATCTAGCAGCTGGCAATGTAACACAGAGGCCCTGCTCCAGATGGGCTAATTTGTCTTCAAACTCAGCTGACGGACATGTGTCCTCTTTGATATTTAATTTGTTTATACAAATGAAAGCCATAATTATGGGGGTGGTTTGTCCTTTTCATTTCGTACCACCTGTTGAACATACTGTGTTGATTCTTTTCAACACTTTTCCCCCTGTCAAGCTCCTACTCTTATTATACAGTGACCTTTAAGTGAAAAATGGTAAACAAGTCCCTTTCCCAAAAGTGGAACCTGAATTTCTATTATTTTAGGTATCAAAACCAGAGGAATATAATCAGGTATCAAAAGCAGAGGAATATAGCCAGGAGTCAAAGTACTGCCGTGACAGTAAAGTCTGCATTAAAAGTATTTACATTATGATTCAGAGTGATGCAGCAATTGGGAGCAGGAAGTGAATATGTAAGAGAATTAATTAAAAGGTCTGCACGCTATTCAAAAAAAGAATCTAAAAAAAAAATTTAAAAAAGGAAATCAAGGAATCTGTATAGTACATAATCATATTTCACCTTACAATATAATTATACAGAGGACTACACTTCCATAACTACGTTTAGAAGGGTTCTGAAGGGAGAAGTCTTCATGTGTGTGAAAGATTATAATATGTACTTAACTGTTTGTTGGACAATTGCTTTCTTGGAGCAGGGAGCGTTCAGAACCATCAATAGACTTTTTTATCCTAAAATGGAAGCCTGAGAAACAGACTATGGGTGATTTTTCTGCGTGTATTAAATGTTCTATTCAATTCTATATTGTTATATAGATTATTTGATCATTCAATGGAAGGCTTTAAGAACTGGGAGTTCATGACCACTCATTGTTGGGGAGAGAAAGCTGCAGGAGACTGGATTCTCGAAATTCACGATACCCCATCTCAGCTGAGGAGTCAGAAAGTGCCAGGTATGAACACGAACACACAGAATTAAGTATTTATTAAGGAAATCAATAAAACGTAAACACATTTACTGGAAAATCATAGGACTAAATAATGTAACTTGTTTTTAGTGGACAAATATGAACCATGTTTTTCTACACCGTGTTAGTCAATACCCATCATCACTAAAGACACAAAGTTCCTAGGAATTATATATGTTGTAGGTCCCTGTGCAAATCCACAGGTAATAGATACAATAAACCAGCCTTTCTGTCTGAAACCTTAAGCCAATTCCTCTGAAACTGTTGTAAGATAAGATAATGTGTGTATAATCATAGTGTATTTATAAATTATGTCCTAATACAAGTGAGAATTATAGCCATTGTTTACTAGGCCCTTTATATATCAGGTTAATTATACAAGAGGTAGAATTTTATGGTTATATTGTTTTAATATAATGCCCTAATCTGAAACAAATAAAAATTGTGTTTTATCTATAAATAATAATTTCTAATGTCTTGCATTACAAGTTCAGTGATATTGTTAATATTAATAAATGTCTAAGACAAAAATGCACTACAGTTATAACTGAGATACTATTAGTAACAACAAAGTTTGGGTTTATAAGTTTGTGTAACTGCTTGATTGTTTTATAAAACCAACAAAGTCTTTCTTTTTATATACAAGCAGACCATGTTGGAGACCACATGCAAAGGACAGCAGAACATTTATAAAATAACACTTATTAATGTGAATATGTCAGTGTTTGCATAATGTAATTTTAAAATTTGAGCTTTATTCTTTTTTTTTAGTATCAGATTGTGATGTGTGCATTCTGCTTAAAAATGTGTTAGAAAATTGACCTAATTATTTGTGGTTATGAAGTAGGAAAAGCTTGTGAAGCTAGTTTTGCTATCACTATGTTTGTTCAGATGTAAACATGGTGAATTCTTAGAAGACAGTAGAAGGGTTAAAATGAAAAAGCCTTAATATAAGGTGTGTACTGCAGCTGATAAAACTGAGATATTTCAGCAAAACCTTAATGTAGGTTAAAGTAACAGCAAACACTTCACTGTAAAGTCATAAAATGACTTTCTCAACATTACAGGGAAACTGAAGGAGTGGTCTCTTGTTCTTTATGGCACCTCTGTTCATCCTTACTCCTTTTTGCGTCACGAGAAGCCGCGGTCAGCCGACGTGGATGAAGAAGACTGTGCTCTAGAGGAGTACAGCGGTGAGTCATTTTATTGATACTCCTTACAATATGAACTGCAGCTCTTCTGAAAACAGTCCACTAAAAACATTAATTGTACTTCAAGCAAACAAGTGAAAGATAACATGGCAAAATCTGCCACCTCCCTGTTTTCAGTTCATTTGGTCATAGTGATGTGCAATACATAACATTTGAACAGATTTACTTTCCATGAAGTCTCGAATTCCTGACAAATTGAAAAGTGATAACCCCAGATCATACTGCATTTAACGTTTACATAAAACTAAAAAATGCCTTAAAATAGGCACATTACCGACAATTAAGTGGTTTGTAAGTGTAATGAAATACAGCAAGTTTAGTGTAACACAAGAACATAACATAGAAGGCATCTGCTTGTGGAGGTTTGAGATCCTTCATTTCAGCCTGGTGTTTTGCTACGGTTGATGATGATATTCAGTATGTGAACAGCTCCCAGTGACCACAAATATGAAACACTATTAAATGGTTAATTTGAAATATTTTAAAAATAGAACATTCTGCTCCTCAACAAGACCTTTAAATAGTCTATTTCTATGTTCATATGAGCACCTCGGCAAAATATCAAAATAGTTATAATAAAATTGGAGTTCTTCCTAGAGATTCAACTCAAATCCAAGTGTTATCCATTATAAAAACATAGGTGTGACTTAAATCTTTGAACTCGATGGCACCGAAAAGTGCGTGTTACGTGATAGGTCAGCATGGACTCAATCTGATGCCAGGACTGTCCTAATGACTGAAGGCAGATTGATTATCATCCTCCTGCAATGAGAAATCAACTTTGTGTTGAAAGCTATGTATGTGATTTAGGGATCCGTTGTCTGAGATGAGACTGTTCATTTTTTTGTTTACAGTATGTTGATTTTCTCTCACGCACGTTTCCTTGGATAAAGACATCAGCTAAATTTTAAAAATCATCAGTATTCTTTTCAAGAAATACCAGAAGCTATGTAAATAATCAATATTGCTTTGCAGTTTTTACTCTCCATCCTTCCAAATAATTCCCACAAATAGCAATTCATGTGGACAATGGGAAAGACATGAAAATGCCATGATAGAATATGATTGCATAGTTTAAAATCACTTAATTCTGACTGTAACTGTAATTCTAAAGAAGAGGAATGCAACTAGAATTTAAAGATCTATCCCTGGGTAGGTAATGGAATGAAATATTAGCCACTTAATTCCATCTCACTTAACATTGTAAATTATTTCTAATCAGAAGAGCTCTCAAAAACCACTTGCTGTGCACCATATGTTCTTCAAGAATACATTTTTTTGCTTCTTCAAATATCACCTCTCATGACTGCTTAGGTTCCACACAGCCTATCATATATTATTTGGTTAATGCTGTCAAACAAAAATGTTACATGATTGGTTCTATAGATTATCCACAGTATAAGTTAAATTCAGAGAACCTACTAAGTCCAGTTAGAGTTCAGAAAATTATTTTGAGCAAACGGTTAAATGCTTGTTAGGCAAATGAACTAATCCTCAGTTATAGATCTAAGTGGCAAATAATAAGTACATTAAATTGTTAATCTCTGTTGATGTTGCCCTTCAGATACATTGAATGAATTTTATGGCTCACCCTACTTGTGAAGGTGGGGAACATTCCTCATAAATTGATCATATGATTTCTTATGTTTTCATAAGTACCTATTTTGCTAGGTAATTTGATGATATTATACTTGTATTTGTTAGAAATACTTCATTTAATAAAAACTGCATTTGCTAACCAGATTATTCATGCATTCATAAACTTTGTCCAGTAAATTATGATAATTGTTTCTAAGAGAAATAAACAGTGATCAGTTATAGTAAACATAAAATATTATTTTTGGCCTGAAATTTCTTAGTAACCAGGATATGCCCTAGCTTGACCTAATACCTATCAGGCAGCTTTCTAATAATGAACTGATGACTGTCTGCTTAAATATGTATTTAGAGCCTCAAAATGCCATTATTAATATCAAATGTTATAACACAATGCAATGCACAACACAATGCAAAAGCTCATGTTAGTTTCAGTTTATATTGTAAACTGCATGGTATCAGGAATCATACTTAGAATCATAGTATAAAGTGAGTCCATTTGTATTTTGAATTATCTCGAAATAAAGATAATTATTTTATCATGATAATAATGATAATTATTGATAATTGTATACCTGGCAGGTATACAATTTTGGATACCCGATTCTTAAACATTAAATGAAATTGTAGCACCCCACTAAGACAGATTCTTTTACTTATTTATCTTCTGTTCCTTTTTACTCTGTTATACTGTAAAATAATAACATGCTTATCTACAATGTATATGAGACCACTCAACAAAAAATGTACATGAACAAAAATGTATTTGTAAGACAAGAAGTTGTCACTGCATTATGTGACTGCTCAATGATAAAATACAATAAATGAAAAGAATACATGCAAAAGTAAACTAAAAACAAATAATATTATCATCACTGTTGCTGTTGTTATTATTACTCATCATACATCTACTAATAATAGTAATAATAATATCCATTTAGCCCGTTTAAAGGTTTTGCCTTATCCACTGGCCTGTGTGCTTCATGAAATGAAAAGGCATTTTATGGCTTAAAATGCTGCAGCTTTGCAGTATACAAACCCACTTGACTGCCTTTGACTGCATTGCTTAGGACGTGTGTGCCTGGAGATGCACAATGTAGTGAAAGGAAGACAAGGAAAGGCAACACCTGGACACTCATTTGGGGGGTATTAATAAGATGTGCAGCACCATAATGAAAGGAACTCTGGGTTTAGACTATACTGAGAAATAAGTATAACATTTTTGTCTTTTAGGACCTTGTGATCCTGAATGTAGTGAAAACCGTTGTGAAGGACCTGGGCCCCATCAGTGCATTAACTGTTTAAATTCCTTCATGAAATTTAAAAACAACACAAGGTAAAAAAAGTAGTTTTCAATTAAAATGCAATTTTATGATAGAATCATAAAAGAAGACTGGATAATTGCAGATGTTGAATCCTGAGAGCCACTGAAAGAATGTACAACTATGCTGTGTTATGATGGCTATGACACCTGGTGATGGGTGAACATTTATTTAGCGCTATTTCTTTCTTTTCCTCTATGTATGTGGAGCATGAAGGTTAATTGGTATTAGCAATTGGTTTGTTTTCAATTAGGATCAAAGTCGTACTTTGGTTGCCAAAAACCTAATTAGATCAAACACAGGCTTTCATATCTTTAGTGTCTAATAAATATGCCAGTAAATGTTTACAGGTGCAGAAAAATCATGTCATTACATATCACTAGGTCTACGCCTGCTTTACTGTGCCAACTTTGCAGCTTGGTTTTTTAATTGTAATACAGTCCTTAACCTCCAGATGTTCATATCAGTAACTGAGTCATCTACATAAATGAGTCATCTACCTAATCAGTTCAGTTTGTTCAATTCAATTTCTATTATGCAACGGTTCCATTAAACAATACCCCTCTAATTATAAGGAAAACAGTCATGAGCACAGACATTGTATTTATTGCACAGCTGTACAATATTTATAATTATCTTCTTGCATGCTACTTTGTAATCATGTTTCCGGGGGCACTTGTTTCTGAAAGAGCCAAGTGCCCAGACATTTAAGTTGTTTTCAGTATTGACAAAACAGGAGGACGCGATGGAAATGGCAGCGGATTTTCTTATAAAGACTTTTCATGCGGGAAGACTAACGGTATTTGAATGTTGTTAGCAGTTCCAGGGATGATGATGTATTTCTACGTTGGAACAAATTTTAATAGTGTTGACTCAATCCCTTAAACAAAACCAGTTTAACCAACTGAAAATGCTCAATTGTACATTTACTATGAACAACAGCATGTATACAAACATAACGATGTTGCTGCCCCTGCACATTATGTTCAGGATGCCATAAATCTAATGGAAAAGCTCATATCAAGGATCTTTCAAATGCCCAAATTGTATTTTCTGTTTTTCCACTCCTTTTTCAGTTCATGCCATAAACAATAAATTCATTATGGTGCCCTAATGAGAAGAATTCTTATATTTCACTATATATATATACTTAAGCCTGCTGAGATGAACAGGGGAATCATTATATTTACTAAAAAGATTTGAAGTTCAGTGAATTAATAAACTAACATCAAAATAAATGTATCTGACATACTACTGTATTTGAAAGTCACAGAAACACACACTAATGCCAATTTAAAGTATTTTGCTTGAAAGATATTCACAAGGTTGTAATGTTAATCAAGAACTTAAAAAGCTTCACACACAGTGGAGGCAGGGAACCCAACTTGCTTGTTACTGTATGTTGTTAGTAGCTTAATGTTCTACGTTTATTGAAGAATTCCATAGATTCAGAGTTGGTTCCAGACTGTCAATGTCCTCTGCAAGCAGAGCTAAGTTTTTCTCTCTTAAGTGACTCCAAACTTAATTTACACTGTTGTGTAACTGGGTCAGTATCTCTGTTGCCCTTGACTGTCTTGGTGAATGTTTTTTTATGATTTGAAATACTTGAATTAATTCCAAATAATTATCTCTGTTGCACGATATAAATATTGATTTCACTGCATTAATGATTATTTTATTAAAACCAATACTTTTTTGCTTGTTATAAGTGATTTTAGTTGTTACCCTTCAATTGCTTAAGAACATAAGAAAGGTAACAAATGAGTATGTATTGACTGGGTAGTGTAATTGAGATTAATGAACTACAGAAAAGTCAAATGAGTTCAATAGGCCAAATTATCTCCTTTTATTTTAAGTCATTCCAGTGTTCTTCTGTTCAGATTTGTTTTTTGTTAAGAATATTGTACTACACAGTGGTACTACAGTCAAACAGATTATCAGAAGGACTCTGCTGGAAGGAATTGCTGGTTTAGGTCTGGAGACCTGCCTCACAGTACTTGGGTCTGAAGTTTGATCTTGGTCTGGGTGCCTTCCGCATGGAGTTTTCTCATGGCCATGCAGGTTCTCCTGATGATGGAGCTTAAATTCAGAATTGCATTAAAACTTTTGCAATGTCAGAATAAAGCCCATTTTCAAGGCATGAACTAAGTCATTTCTTCAACTGCAGTTGCTATTTTAGAATCCTTTTGAATTTGTTGAACAGCTACTGTAAGCTACACTCAGTTTTCACCAATTATACCAATTAATTATCCACGTGTGTTTCGTTCAATATACAGTAGAAACAACAGTGCAGTGGTGTACATTATGACTGTAAGACAGCTGGCATCTTCATGTTCTGTAATGTGTTTTTGTTAGTGTATGGTAAAAATGCCATAGGTTCGGTTGCTGAGTGCCACGTATCTTTCCTGCAGGACATGTGTTTCTGAGTGTCCCTCGGGGTTCTTCAAAGATGATAAGAAGCGCTGCAAGAAGTGCTACTCGCTGTGTGAGACCTGTGTGGGCAGCCGTAGTGACCAGTGTTCTTCCTGCAAATCTGGCTACTATCTGAACGAAGAAACCAACAGTTGTGTCTCTAGCTGTCCTGAGAGCTTTTACCTTGATAATGGCAAGTACTTAATGAGTCTGAAGAATTACTGTTGCAGCTCTGTGAACATCCAGCATTTTGAAAACACCCATGCTTTCATTTCTGAATCCCCGTTGAAGAGCTCTGTGCACTTCAGTGTATGCCACTTCTACATAGCAAATTGAAACTTAAGCAACTGGAAGAAAATCATTTCTGTTTCATCCAGTTTGTGTTTGATCCTCCGTTGGAAACAGATAAAGCAGGGAAATAAGATGCTTGATTCGGAATATTAAGTGTTTTCTGTGACTCTTGTGATTAAATGCCACTTAATACCACAACTTTGTCTTAATAAACATTGTGGATTATGTATTTTAGAAGTATGTACAAGATGAAAATTGTACTATTTTGGTTTTATTCACAGATAATGTACTTGCCTACTAATGTGTTTACTCCTTAAAGGGCTTTTATGTAGACGCTATCATCTATGTATGTACTTTTATTGCAGATGGAAAAAACTGCAGGAAATGTAGTGAGCATTGTAAAAAATGCACATCATCCCAGATATGTACAGAATGCAGACCAGGCATGAGGTACGTTAAACAACCTGCCATTTTCTTACAGGTGAATTAACCCTTCTGTTCAAGAAATATATAATCTGGGTATAAACAGTCTTCGAAACCAAAATGAAATTTAAAATATATTTCTGGAAGAAGAAAGAGGAAGAAGAAATCGATACTTCAGATGACAGCCTTTTTTTTCAAATATTTATTGGCGCCTCTACCCAAATCATTATTGCTGTGGACTACAAAATGATTCTTCTATCACTGTTGTTGGCACAGAGACCATTTTTATTGACTTTATATATTTTTAAATATACTGAAATACACAGATAGAATGTTTATTCTTTTAGCACTAGAATTCTGAGTAGAAACCAAGATTCCAGACTAATAAAATAGGTTAAGAAAGGTTGATTTTGCTTTTCTACATAAAAATTAACAACACAATTGTCTTTAAGAAGGATGTGACTTTAGTCTGCAGCTACTTCTCATTTTAATTATTCTTTGCGAATCCATTAAGTGTTTTGAAATCTGAAATGCATTGCAATACAGTGTTTGAAATAATACAGGTACTGCAACTTTTCTGTTTTCTTATTTCCAGTTTACAAGGCAATAAGTGTGTAGTGAGCTGTGATCTTGGAAGCTACTACAATGGCCACAGAAAGGAGTGTGAGCCCTGTCATCGGGCTTGTGCTACCTGTGCAGGTAATCACACGTTCTGCTTGTGGGGGAACTAACAGATTGCATTCTGAGTCACTGCAGTACCGCTCTGAGGCATTGTTAATTCAGCGCCCAGCTGTGTGCAGCTGTTGAGCCTGGCTGTGGTACAGTACCTGCAGACCACACAGAACTAATACAGTACTTCTTGTTATAGGAAGTATAAAATTAAATGGATATAAATTTTGATGATGGATGCTTTGGATCCCATTTAAAGAGCTCTCAAGGCAGTCAGTCTTCTTTTGTCCTAATTTAGTTTCATTCTTAGATGTCAACCAAAAATCTGTCAGGCTTGTTTGTTTAAAGGAGAAAGTAATGGGTTGGAGTTGGTGTAAGGTGAAACTTGAGATTTTAAATCCTAAATGAACACCATCAGATTTTCTGAATAACAGACATCTGCTTACTTTTGTGTGCTTATTCACTGTACCCTTTCTATTATATTTTATGTCTCCCTTAGGCACAGGCTCAGAGGCTTGCACAAAGTGTGCTGAAAATTATTACATGGAAGAATGGAGGTGTGTGTCAAACTGTAGCCCTGGATACTATTTGGAGCAAGTAATAGACAATGGAGACACTCAAAGCATTTGCAAAAAGTAAGTAAAATAGATTTTGTTTTTCTACAATCTTGTTTTTATTTGTGTTGATTTTCTTATATTGTTCTCCATCTTCAATAGAATTCGACATGGATTGTTAAAATGTAACTGGTGCTCAGTCCAAGTGAACTTTGAACAGTTTATTGTTATACTGTAAAATTATGTAAAATTACTCACAGTAATGTTGTTTGTGATTTTTGTTTTGTATTTGAGTTTTCTGAGCTTCATGTGCAACACATCTTTGTTCATGACACATAAACATTTTGGCACCTGCATGCAATATATTGATATTTTACTTTAATGTCTTAAATGATGTATACTTCAATACATGTAGTATATTCAAATGCTTTGAATTTTTAGATGTGATCCAAGCTGCTATTCGTGCACTGGTCCTGGGGAGAGGAATTGCAGCAGCTGTGTTAGTGGATATAACTTAGAGTCGGGTGTCTGTGTTGTCAGTACAATTTGTAAAGATGGTGAGTACGTATTTCGAAAAGTCAAACACACAGTTTGAACAGTTTTGAATGTGCAGATTAAAAGCAGTGGGATACAGCTTTGAATAAATAAAAAAAGTTTGTTTTTTATAACTAAGGCCAAAATCTAAATTTATTCTAAAGTAGTAAGATTATAATCTTGTTTATTCACCATCAGATGTTCACTAATCATCATGAATGACTGCACCATGCAAAATTATGGTATGCTTGATATTTTGCCTATGGCCTTAAATGCACTTTTAACATCTATATATTCTGATAGATTGGCCAGTGAACAAATTTTCTAGAACCCTATTGTTATTGTTTAGATTATTATTTTTTATTCCAATTCAATTGTAAATGCTTATGAAATCCAAAATCCTAGCCAAAATGCACAAGGTATTTATTTATATTTCTAAAACTGAAAATATCTTGTTGAAGACATTTACCTCATTATGAACAATTAACTTCAGCTTTATCTAAATGTTAATGTAATGTGATTTTTCTTAAAAACTGCACATTCCGTTTATATTTAAGATGATAAACCCAGTACATGGTGAGTTTTCATTAGATGTAGCAGATCTTTGACAAAAAAGTCACCACCACGTACTGCATTTATGATTTGCTACTGACAAGCTGAGGTTTTTATAAAGCTCTGCAAATCGGAAATAAAGGTACGAAAACTGTTCAGAACTTAAGGGTCTTAAGATGAGAGAAAAAAAGTGTGATATTAAGAAACCATTGTTTTGGAAATAATTGTGATGAAAATACTGTCTTCTCAAACAAAATGATTTACTCAAATTGTTGTTCACCAGTTTTCATTTTCATATCTATTATTCTTACTTTCTTGTAGCAGTTCATAGAAACATGAGGAAGTAAATGCATGTTTGCACATTTTCCATTCCTGTTAATTTTGTTTTGGTACTTGCTCATATTCATGCAACAATCCACTTATTGAAAAGTGTGACCTGATCAGAAATGCATTGTGTTTCTAATTGTTGTTTTTTCACATGTTTTTCCCTTCCAATAATGGATTCCAATCACTTCCTGCTGGACCACAATATTCCTTCCTGTTGCCAACCATTATTGTGATGGATCAAAACCTTTTGCTGTCGCCTGCCCTGGTTTCCTCCAACTTCTCTGCCTGTCTGACAAATCAAATCCCACTGCACCTCCCTTCTCCGATTCCCCTGTCTCTCTTGCCTGATCTCTGGAAAGCAAATGAAGAATCATGGGCGGAAGGAAGCTTCTGTGTCCTAGTGAAAAAGAATAATCTCTGCCAGAGAAAGGTCCTTCAGCAGTTGTGTTGTAGAACATGTTCACTAAAAGGGTGAATGGACTTCCATAGCGTTTCAGTACTTCTGTATGCATTTTTAGTGATAATTTATATTAAATCCGCCTCCCTGCTTTTTATAAGGGAATGGACGAACTGTGTCAGAACTCAAATGACAGAACAACTACAACACACCTACCTTCCTTCACTCGGACGTGTTTTCAGGGTTAGTGTCCAGAATTATAACAATGAACATGTTGGTATTTTGTGACCAAAGCATTGATGCCAAATTTCTTTTTACATTCAAAGTACAATTCATAGTTCATTTGGGTCCATTCCTCAAAGGAAGAACAGTCTCTTGTTTGTGTTTGCTACTACATTTATCATAAGTATGACTGAAAGATATCCACAACTTTTGGTACATAAATATGAAAGCATGCTTATGAATATGAAAGATGGTCAAATGGATTTACGCTTGCAGTAAGTGTATATTGAATGGAGGCCAGTTCAAGGTGAGCATTTCTTTAATTTGCCATCATTTCCACAATAAAATATTTAACAGTTTCTGTTACTTTCCAAGCAATGCAGTTGAAGTATGAATGTTCGATGTAAAGATTGGTTTCCATTTGAAATCCTTGCATGTAAATTAGAAACCATTGTTTCTGCTAAAGGAGTAATTATTTTTGTGATTTAATGTAATATAACATATTTACATTAAATATCCTTCTTAACTTGAAATGCAGAAACTCAGACTGATCAAAGGCTAAGGCACTGTCAAACACAGCTTGTATTCTATGCATTATGACAACCTGGCTATTATTCCTTGAAAGATGTTCACACAAACATTAATTAAGTAGTAAATGTTCTTAAAAACCCTCCTCATTGCAAATAGCACAAATGTTTCTCCATCATTTTTAAGAATGGAATTCTGATGCTGTCTTTATGAATTGTTTCTTGCATGTTTACCAATCAGAGTACTTTGAGCTATACTGTCCCTCTGATAAGCTCTGTTTTAATACTTTCTTATGTGTGCCATATATACCATTTGGTATGACATGGAAAAATTGTATACTGTACAGATTTTATTATCAAAATGTAAATGTTCATTATTTGAACTGGCCAATTATTGTGAAGTGTCTAATAATGTTGATTAATGCACCCCACTTACCTCAAGACGTCTGTCCCCCGTACTGCATAGTGGTTTTATACAAAAACCACTTTAATTAATGTGAATAATACTTTTTTTTCTCAAGTCAAAACTTTGTTGCATTAATAGATATCTAATAAGATGATCATAGCATAGTTATGTCAACTTACCTAGACAAGTGTTTGCTTTTACAAAAGTTAATTGATTCTTACATCTCTCCTCCGTAACACCCATACACGTATTTTTACCCATTTTGGGTGTTTTTTTCCCTACAGTTATACTTCAGATATCTGTATTATGGCCCAATGCAAAGACATGTTGTCATTGAGCAGGTATTACTGTTTGCATAGACATGTGGAAAAGGGACAGGCTGAGGGGTTAATGCACATTTACAATAATAAATGGAAATGATAGTTTCATTCCTGTCACATGAAAACCAATGCATTGTGCAATTCTTCACAATAAGATGGCCATTGCACCAGGTGAAACTTCTGTGAAAGGCATCTTCCAGACTGGTTAGGTATCTCTGTCTTAGTTCCATAAGTGAAAGTCAGTTACTTAACTATCAAGACATTTGAGAGTTAAATAGAAGTTTTCTTTCCAAGTAATCGGCAAATCATTCACTTTCATTTAATCACATACATTGCTAATTCCTAAATGGTAAATGATTGTTCAAGAAATTCTGTCCAAGCCATGATTATTTTTACAATACACTACTCATTATCCTATTCGAACAAATCATGAAATAACTAGGTTTATTTCAGGCTTTCTGGATACCTTTAAAAGCACACACGTTTGATAAAAGACAGATATATTTTAATTATTTTGCTACAGTTTGCAAAAGCAATAAATATGTCTAGGTGTGTCCACACTCAAATGTACCATTCTTGGGAAAGAGAAGAAAGTATAATAATGTGAAGTGCCCATTTGGCACAATTACCTGTCAGAACAATTTTGGATCCCTCTGACTGACATTCAGTGTAAAAAAAGGTTAACTGAACTTTTCCTAAATGACACTTGCCCCCTGTTTATGCAAAAAGAGATATTGGAAAGTTTCATCATAACCTGTATACTGGTGAGAGGAGTAATGTTTGTATGTGTACCGTATCATCTAGAGCTATGTTATTAATGGCATGGTTGTTAAAACCTGTATGGTTAATAAGCAAAATTGGTGATTTACCTAAATTCCCTTACAATGAGGTGCCTGGTGTTTTATTCATATTATACTCTGATCTCACTTAAAGGGAAGAAGAAGTAAAACAAAATCCAGGTTAACTGGAATGTGGAGTCTGGCAACTGAGGGAATAATTTACATTATCAAAACTTTCTCGCACATGAATTGTCTACCTTGGAACAAGACAAAAACAATTCTGATGCCAAAACCACCTGAATATGTCACTGTTTACAATACGAAAGCTACTTTTCAGAACTGCACAATCAGACATATATTAATGGCTGGCAGGGGTCTAATGAAAACTTTTGAATATTCCTGCTTAAAATGACATTTTATATTAAGTGTAATGGGTGCAAAATTTACATATGATTCTAAGAATCCAAGATTCTGGTGTCTTTCTCCATGGATGATCATGGATAATAATGGAAAACAGTTGTTGCTCAACTCAGAAAACAAAACAGTGAGATGTGCAATGTTAATCAACACCTTTAAGAAATTACAGTATCGTCTGGAATATCACACATATTGTCAAACACATTTAATTGATTGCTTAAAGTTTGGTGAGGTTCTGTGACAGTAGGATAAAGTTTGGCAGTGATTTTCTTGGTCTTTGTATTGTGTTCTAAATTGAATAATAAACTACAGATAAGCTTGTCCACAGGGGATACACCTCTACCATTGGGCATTAGCAAATATTGACAGGTGCTAATCAGTTTCTTTTAGTGAAATAAACTGGACTGTTGCTTAGTCATTACCTCATGCACTTACCACTTGGACCTTTCATTATTTTTTTAAAGAACACGTATTTTGTAGGTATGGTACAGTACATGGCTGCTTTGCAGGTATTCACCTGTGTAATTTCAGATGTTTTCCGGACAAGACAACATTATTTTATGCTTTGTTATCTAGTTTCATTCTCAAAGCCTCTACACCCTTATAGTAATGACAGTATTTGTGATGTCCACTGTTTTGTCAGTGATTGGGCTTGCACTTTCTGTTTATGAAAATGTTTTCAGAAAATGGCTTTGTGCATATTCTGTTTGGGCGAGGAATGATTCTAGAGAACACTACACAAAAGAGTATTTTTAAAGTATTAGATGCCATGCTCTTATTTATAAAGAAAGGGGATTTTTTTTAAGAAAAAGGATATTGGAAGTGTTCTTTTATAACTCTTTTATTAGAACATGTTTTATCTGAGTTCCAGAGATGTACTGTTTTATTATATTGCTGCCTCATATTTTATACAATTTTCTTTAATATTATGTATTCAGAATTAAAATGTTATAGTTTGTAAAGATTCTGTGCAAATACATTCAAATAACTAATATTAAACAGAAAATGTATAAATATATAAAATCATAATTTACTTTAGAGAATAATATCATTATTTAGTATTTCATGTTTACTGA